TTTCGTCTGTGCGCGGCTGTATAGGAGTGAACTGGGAGGCTGTCACAAATGCATGACAGAATGGGATCCTGCGGTAAAGTTGCGGGCTAGCCTACTCTGTGAGTGTGTGCGCGTGTGTGTGTGTGTGTGTGTGTGTGTGTGTGTGTGTGTGTGTGTGTGCGTTGTCCGTGCTCGTGTGTGTCGCAGAAGAAGATGAGTTTAAATGCAGACATTTTGCACCTTGGCACCCTGTTGAGAAGAGACGTGGGCAAAAGAGTACCGTCCAATTCTGACGCACAGTCTCTCTGCACGCTGATGCATCTGCACATACACACTTAACAGCAGCCTGCGACACATTCAACCTGTAATATCTGTATGCTGGCATCGGTTCATGGCCAACCATGTTGGAGCTTTCTTAATTTAAGTTTTGGCTTCATTAAATGCTGTTAGAATGATACAATGTCAAGTCTGCAGTGGGTAATATTATGAAAAATTACTTATTGATTGTCTGCACAATGCAGCTCTCTGTAAAGTCGTGTTGTGGTATTTTAGATGCGAGCTTCACTTACAATTGCCGTTTCACTGAGACGTAAGCAAAAAACAACAAAGTTATTGCTGATAATATCTGATTAATGCTGATGAACTATAGCTGTGCACACGCACACATAGATTTACAGTATAGCCTCAGCGTGATCTGTTTTGGAAAATGAAAAATAATCTCATTGTAGGTGCATTTATTTGTAAAGAGTAAAGTTTATCTTGAGATATCAGCGTGTGATGAATTTAGATGGAAAGACACTGATCCACTGGAAACATGTTGTCAAGTCTCTTATTAGAAAGATATCCCACGCTCACGTTGTTATCGAGAAATGTTAATCGTATTTGACACAATGCTAAAACAAATGTTTTAAAGAATCCTTAATTATCAGGGCCAAAATGCAATAGGATTGTTCTTCCTAAATGATGATGTATTCATATAGGGAGGTAAGGATTTGCAGTTTGCTTTTTATTTTTATTGCTACATCTCAGAGAACATAATGTAGAAATTTATCTTTCATCAATTGGCATATAAGGATTTTATCCAGCCTATCCTTGTAAATTCACCAAATATCATTTTTTTTAGGCACGATATTATTAGTAATCTAAAAGTGAGATCCTTTATTTTACTCAAAAGATGAAAAACCAAAAGCAGGTAAATTAGATTATCAATAAAAATATATTTAGCATCAAACTACATTCCTAATGTCAACAGAAATTTGGAGGAGCCTTTTCAATTTGCCCAAACAGATTATTGATGCTCATAAAGGCTCAGTCTGCTTGAGTAAGAAGTCATTTGGATTTGAAGTGCACATTTTGAGCATCACGGGGCTGGTTTGGCTATCGTTAACACGGTTTTGTTGTCATAATTGGAGTCTCACCAAAGTTACAGGGAGTAATTGGGCGGCATATGGAAACCTTAATGTAATGTGATGCCTTATTAATTTCACATGAGTGCACGAATCAGAACAAGTGACGCGGAATAACACGAGGGAAGAGGCAGTTGATTTACCCCTGAGCAAGGCAGCAGGTCCGGCATCTGCTGCTCGTCCATGATGGCATTTATAATAATTGGGGAAATAAAGGGGAGAAAAAGTAAATTCCTTAATCAAGGGCGAGGAAATTCAAGTGGTTTTAATATTACTTTTTTTTTTTGTTACTGTTTGGTCAGGTTACTCACATGTTTATACAAACTTAGTTCGTCTTAAATGCTCTAATGGAAGATTTTAAACTGTAGCAGCTTAAAGAAAAGATGATCTCTGTTTAGCTCATAATGTAATCTTGGCTTGTCGCTGCTAAATGGTTGTAAGTGAGGTCAGATTTTTTTTTAATTCACCATGTTTATTTTTTTACTTTACTGTTTCAGTCTCAGAACAAAGTAAAATACATGTAAACAACTCCATCTGCACAGCTTTAATACTAATTTAATTTAAGTAGACTAATGCTTTTTTCTTTGAGATATAACTCGGTGGCTGATTTAAATAATAGCCTTACTTAAAACAATATTTATAACACATGTATAGACGCCTAAAATGCCACAAGGAAAGTATGTATAAAAGCGTATATTTTTAGGTTTGTTTATTCGAACAAATCAAAGGCCTTAGCCTGTGTTCCTCCAGGAATTATAATTGTATTCAGTATTGATTGGCGCGGTGTGGTGTGTTTTCAAGGCCTATACTTCAAATATGCTGCAAAAGCCAGCCACAAACACTGCAATGCACATTTCAAGAGAAGAGCGTAGGGAGGCATAATTTCATATGTGCTCAGATATTTTAACATTTAACATTACTGTATTTTCCACTAACATTCTTGATTTTGGGGAGGATTTGAGCCAACAAAATCAAACTAGATTTTTAGAGCAACAATATTTATGGATCACGAGAAATAAAAGGTGAATCAATAAATTAGTTTACGGTTTGAAAAGGATAAAACAAGAGCAAATGCGATTTATTTACCAAAAGGCTAACTCAGTTTCCCCATGCATGCGCCCTTATATCATATGGGTTCTTCCGTCAATAATGTCCATAGAGGCCAAACTCAAGTAGCCTCATTTATAAAAATGTTGTTTCACCAGATGCCATTTAGCAGTGGCTGATTCCTAAACAAGATGTAATTGTCATTTTGAACATTTATAACGCTTGCAACGCTGTGTCACTTTGCAGAGCTGCCGAAATATTGATCCACGGTCCTCTCTGTGAGGCATTATGTTGTTTCTGCTCGGATATGCTGCTATGGGCTTCAAGGGAACGATATCTCTGATTAATAATCAGTGTGAACCCTGTCAGTAATTGACACAGTGCCTTCAGGTGCCCATTGCCTGGCATCCCTGTGCCCTGGCACAGACTTTTTATTTTCATATAAAGCGTAATTTTGGTAAGAATTAAAGAATTTATTTTCCATGTAGTCGTCTGCATATCCAAGAATCCGCACGTGTGTGGCACTACGTGACATCGTTTCCTTTGTAACAATTGAATTGAATCCGCTTGAAATGTATCCTCTTTCAGAGGTGCTCAGAAAAGCGCGTCCCTTGTATTCTCTGCAAAGCAAATGCCACCGGCTCGTATAGGCCAGGCCTATCTCGGCACAATGGCCATAGAGAGCCAACTCACATAAACACACAGCGCAGGTCGTGCAGACATGGCAGGAGCATATCGATCCGTATGAGAATGTGTAGATGAGGTTTGCTGCCATGTAAGGCCAAACCTTGGCCTTTCATTTGCCTGTCTTTCTTCATCTTGTCTCTGAGTGTGCAGGGTGTGCAGCGAAATCAAAACAGAATAAATAGGCCTGAAAAAAAATGATATTGTCAGAAAGAGAGTTTAATTTAAATGGTCTGATTTAATTGTATTGAATACAGTAAAACAGTATAAGATATCGTCTGAATATTTGGAAAAAAAATCGGATTCCAATTCCAATTCATTTAAAAAGCTTCCCATAGTATGGAGAATGATATACCCAATTTAAAATAGATATGTAATTCACAGTGTTTTTGGTTCCCTGTTGTCAGCCATATTTGCCTCTAAAGTCTATTATGTCCACAGGACTACACGGTTGGACAGCCACACTTCAAGGAATTAGTGTTCTTTTGTGTCGACACACGTCACACACACGCCGTTGACATTGACTTCACATCAGAGACAGTTTAACTTCTTCTCTTTTTTTGTCTTTTCTTTTATTTAACTCGTTCAACCGAGCGCTGGGTCTATTGTGGGCACCCTGACAGATGCGGGGCCCCTAGCAGGTCCAGGATAGGGAAAAGTCTGAAAGGTTAATCTGTCCCCCCGCAGATGTTGGCTTTGGGAGTCTTGAAGCGTCACCTTTGACATGTCCCTCATTCAGCGGGGGTTCCAGCAGGACACTGACCGCTGCAAGCTGTCACCTCGGCCGGCTGAGGACGCCCTGCGCTACCGCTCTATTAGGCTAAACGGCCCCTGACATGTAAGCATGGGCGGCCTTCTGTCGGGCTGCAGGTTTGGGGAGTTTGACACTCATTCAGCATTATGCACTATAACAACACGGGTATGCCAGTCATGTTATGTGTCAGCATGTCATTTCCTCCACGGGCTTGAATTTTATAGAGAAGCTGTTTGTGTCTGTGAGTGTCTGTGTGCAATTGTATTATTTGGAAGTGCCTGTCAACAAAAATAAATTGAATTGTCTCTTTTTGAATAAATTACATGTTGGCGTTTTATTTGTAATGTGATTGGATAGGCAAATGTTTAAACTTAAATTACTCTCAAATGTAGGGATTGAATGTACATATGTCCATCTCCAAATATGACAAGCACACACACATACACTGTTGGGCTTGGTTCGTTAAGCCTAATGGTTGAACAAAAGACACATCTGCTCATCTTTTTCTATCAAACGAGAAGGTACTACTGTCTTCTTCGTTTGGTTAAACCGCCACATATTTGGCAATGGGGGTGGGGGTGGTGCAGCTGAAGTAGTCTGATAATGAAAGAATGGATCCATGTGGTGTACATTAATACAATTTTATTAGCAGCCCTTTAGCAACAAATTAAGTCAGCATGATTTGTTGTCATTTCTGAAGCCTAATTTTTCTTGGGAAGAATTAAGCGTGTTTTCATTGGGTTTGGAGGGTTTGAATCCCAGACCTCACTAGTTAAAAATCAACTCCAAATGAACCCGGAAGTTTACTTCATTTGCACTTAGTAATTTAAGGAGGACTGAAGATAAAGCCTCATTACAGCCATAATGAATGGCACATTTTCTAAATAACAAGTGGCAATCAAACGTTAGGTGCTGCATCCAGTCCATTTGTATAGGTGTATTTTGTAATGACTTTATCAGAGATCCGTCTATTTGCATTTTGAACATTTCAGTAAAGGCTGGATATGGGTTATAGGGCAGAACAGCTTTAAGCAGGTGGTTAGATACCGCCCTTCCTTAATAAGGTAGGTGACGTCAAAGCTACGAGGCGGTGTGTGTGTGTGTTTGAGAGCGAAAGAGAGGGAGAGAGAGAGTATGGGAGGAGATGGGATGTTCCCAATGCGCATGTGTAGACAGTGATCTGTGCTGCGGTGGAAAAGGGGCTGGAGACACACAACTAAAGAGATGGCGCGGCACCCGACCGGAGCGCAAGGACAGCTGGCTGGCGGTGGGGGGGCTTGAATTATAAAGAAAATCAGAAAAAAATAATAATAACAAACAAAAACAACGACGACAAAAAGAATTAAAAAAAAAAAACGGGATTCAGAAAAGGAGTTTCCATTCCGCAAAACAGCGTCAGAGGTAGGAGAATATATATGTGACTATAAGGACAGAGAGGAGGCAATAGCAAAGGAGGCTCCTGCAAGAGGAAGAAAAAGCAACAAAATAAAATTGAACTTTACTGGACGTGAGGACTTCTGGACATCACCTAACTGCGCTAGACCAGATAGATGGTTTGTCCACAGCGCTGCCCGGATCATGAACGCACAACTGTCGATGGATATTGGCGACCTGCACGGAGTGAGCCATGAGTCCGTGGCCGGTCACGGACAGCTGCTGAGTGGCCACAGTCCGCATGGCCGTCCAAGCCCCCGGGGTCTGAGCCACCGCGCTATGGGCATGGCCAACCTACTGGACAGCGGAGACTATCACCCCGGTCACCACGGACACTTGCATCCAGCCATCAGCATGTGTGAAGCCCCCCCTGGCATGAGTGCGAGCAGCACTTACACAACCCTAACCCCCCTGCAGCCCTTACCCCCCATCTCCACCGTGTCCGACAAGTTTCCTCCCCATCACCACCACCACCACCACCACCATCCCCATCATCCTCACCATCATTCCCACCAGAGGATCCCCGGAAATGTCAGCGGAAGCTTCACGTTGATGCGAGAGGACCGGAGTCTGGCGCCTATGAACAGTCTGTATCCCGCATATCATCACAAAGATCCCTGTATGGGCCAGAGCCTCTCCCCGTTGTCTGGTTCCGGTCTGGCCAGCATACACACGTCTCAGGCCGGCATCCCTCCCTATGCTCATCCCGGTGCCGCCATGCCTGGTGAGAAGATGCTCACTCCCAGCGGGTTTGAGGCTCACCACCCGGCCATGCTCGGCAGACACACGGAGCAGCACATGACCTCCTCAGCGGGCATGGTACAAATCAACGGCCTCCACCACCACCCGCATGCCCACATTGGCGCGCAGGGGCACGGCCAGGGGCTGGGGAACAGCCAGGAGCAGGCCTCCGGGCCGGGGCAGCAAGGGGGCGGCGGTGGAGGGGGTGGTGTTTCTGGGGGCCAGATGGAGGAGGTGAATACCAAAGAGGTGGCGCAGAGGATCACCACTGAGCTGAAGCGCTACAGCATCCCTCAGGCCATCTTTGCCCAGCGGGTCCTGTGCAGGTCCCAGGGGACCCTGTCCGATCTGCTGAGAAACCCCAAACCTTGGTCCAAACTCAAGTCCGGTAGAGAGACCTTCCGCCGCATGTGGAAGTGGCTGCAGGAGCCTGAGTTCCAACGCATGAGTTCACTCAGGCTCGCAGGTGAGCGAAGCCTCGGTAAAGCCCCCTTTTTGTTTTCATCTTCTGAATGTGTTGCTGAGAGAAACAGACGCTCAAACAGGGCGTCCAGTCAGCACAGAGGATCATTGGTCCTGAATACTACCCTATTGAGCAAATTAGGGTTGGGGACTAAAACTGATTTTGTACTTTTTATTATAACAAACAGAAAAAATATGTTCCAGCAGTGTAATGTAAAATCACATCGGGGTAGGATTCAGGACAAATCTCCGCTGTTAGTTGTTGATCAAAATAGCATACAACACAATGTCTCCACTTGTCTCCAGAAATCATACCTTTATGAAAGATGCTGGAAGTGAAATGGTTTTAAATGGATTTTGTAGAACTGACGACCATGGATTCTTTAGATAAGGCCTCCAAATTAGAGCCTCGTGTCTGGGGGGGGGGTTCTGTTGGATGGTCAAATCCAACACTAGTGTGTTTAACAATATGTGAAGAAGCTAAAGTTGAAAAGTTCTTCGCCAAGTGGATGCTCACGAGTGGCCTGATATCAACACGCATCCCTTTTCTGCCTCGACACAGATTTTGGGGTTGTGTGAAACAAGTGCTCATGTCATTTTACCTCAAAGTATCGACCGCTGGACTGTGTACGTAAGCTGATCCTTCGCCCCAGAAATCGTTAGGAATGTGTTTATTTTGGTGTAAATGCAGCCGATCAGACTTTTTGGTGATGCCCTTGGTGTAAACAGAGAGAGGGAAAAGTGTGCGTGCACGGGAGAGTGTGTGATGAGCTAAATTTAAAAGCTGAAGTCATGCATTATTTAGTCAGTGAAATGGGCTTTATCTTTTAATTTGTTAATATTATAGGCCCTTATTTCAGAATAGAACAGAGAGCGTGTGTTTATGTTTTGGTCGTAAACTAACCCTGACTTGACTGAGGTTTCTCTAATTAACTGATAGACCTCTGTATTAATTTGTCCCTGAGGTATACACATGAGTCAATTAGGGCGCGCATTGAGGCCCAAATTGCACGTGCGCGTTCACACACCCAATGGATTTTTTTTTAACGTTTATAGGCCCAATCAATGACCCTACAAATTGGCTTTTTGGCTTTTTGAAAAGTGAGGCTGCGGTCACATGGAAAGTGCGTGATTTTGCGTACGTGTGTGTACGTGCATGCTCGTGCGTGTGCACGTCAGTGTAATCGCAATTGATTACTTTTCAGTTTTCCCATCTGCTGCTGCTCTGTGTGTGAGCGTGTGTGTGTGTGTCTGTGTGTGTTGAAAATTTGATTTTATCACTGACTTTTGCAAATTAGTTTTAAAAAAAGCTGGGTTTCTATTTGATCATATAGGTGTGATCAGACTATAATTGATCAGTAGTCTATTGATTCGTATTGATGATGCTGTGGATTGTTTTAAAGGAAGAGCATTTGACTGGCTATATGGGAAATCAGTGTCTGCTTGAGTTGTGCTCATTCATTGCTATTCACTTTTCCTTGAGCATGTTATGTCCTGTCTTGTTTTATCTCAACTTTTTTTTTATAAAAAAAAAATCATGAATAAAAATGACAAAGCTTCTCTTGAGCACAAACCTAAAATATAAAGCCATAGATTTTACGCCACCAAAAAAAGGTTGGGAGACGAGAAATTCTTTACAGTTAAAAACTAAATTAATTTGGAGAGAATAGGCTGAGCGCCATTTTATTGATCCGTTCGTTGCGAGGTGAACTAGATATGGGATCGTGTGCTGAAGTAGATGTGATATACTTATTGATTTTAGGCTTCTGAAATTAATCTCGGGCCTTTTCTCCCTTTCCCACGTATTCAATTACCCATCTGAATTTGCTTGAACAGAACGAAATAGAACAGAATCGAATATGATAGAAACGGTTTGGAAGTGGGCAGGTATGATTTGGCACAGGACAGAATTAATACATTCAGAAACGAGAGATCAAATCAAACTCAGTAAATCAGTTGTAATTGCAGAGAACATGTTGGTTGATTCTATCATTGTCGCTGGTGCTTTTAGAAATCGTAACTGAATATGACCTGCTTACCAGTAAATTAGAATATACGCCAACACATTCGAGGATTGAATATTTGCCCTATATAGACCTATAGGTCTGTTTGTTGTTCTCGTGCTCTCTGTGAGATTATGAAATGCAGGACTATCGTCCCACCGTGTCTGTAGGCCCAGTGTGTGCAGTCTGTTTGAGTGTGTGGAGTTATCTGTGTGTTTGTAATGATTAGCTGGGAGCAGCAGCAGTGTGTGTTTATATGTGTGTGTGCGTGTGATTAGCGTGATAACGAGGCCGCTGTTATGTCCCTCATGGTCCTGGGAAAGCTACCTCTCTGCCCGGGCCTCCTGTCCCGGGGCCGGGCCGCTCTATGGTGGCTCCTGCTGTCTGAATGGCCTTCACTGCTGCTGATTTATAGCGGCCCTTACACGAGGAGCTCCGGCTCTCTGTTAATATTTACCAGCACTGGAGACACCGGGCTGCTCGAACTCACAATTATACTCCAGTTTATGGTCATGCAGGCACGTCGCTGCACTGTACTTTACCACACACCTGAGAGCGTGTTAACCTTAGGTTACAAGGTGGGATCAGCAAAATCAGCTTCAACTCGGCTGATTTAATACATCTGTTTATTTTTATATCGCTCTCTAATAAAGCTTATACTGTTTACTATTTGAATATGAAAGACAATGGCACATGTATTACATCAAAACTAAATACTTTCATAGTAACTCGAAGTACTACGCCACTTTAAATGCACTACAAATGCCTTAGGTAATATAGCATTGTTGGTCGTTTTTATGCGCTCAAAATTATTATTTAGGGATTTATTCGCAATTCTTCATCGCATTGGTTCATTTAATTCGTTTCCTTTGTGCATTATTGTGTTTTTGAGGTTTTCTATAATAAATTGATTTCATTCATCAGGTGCATATTGCAAAATTAAAGAGCACTGGTTGTAAAACGTGCTTTGCTGTTAGAATATGCCGTTCATTAATTTCCCCAGTGAGCAAATATTGGGCCTTGCTCCAGCAGCCCACGCCTGCCCCCTCCTGGTCTCTGCTCACCAATGAACCTCTACTTGGATGGCTGTAGGGCTCAATAAGAGAGAGAAAATAGTTTCGCTGTCAAACGGATTACCAAGTCCCCCTTTCCAATACTAGATGATCTGTAGTTCATGCTTCCACAGCTTCAGTATATTGCAGCGCACCGTTGTTTTCAGCACCACGGACAGCACATAGTTCCCCAGCTGACAGGTCTGTCTGCTCTCCTCCAGAACTAGCGGAGCTCCTGCTCTGGTCTGCAAAGCAACAGAGGTCAATGGGGTTCCCTGACAAAATGCGGAAGAGTTTAATCCCGCTATTATTTGCCTGATGAAAGAGTGTCTTGAGCAAATGTACCACTGCTTCCAACCTGTAGACTTATACAAAGTCACATCTGACAGATAAACTCTTAAAGAGGGGTGCTTCTAAGAGAGTAAAAAGTCTCATCAACACTTGTGGTCACTTTTGAGTCAATGATAAATAGCTCGTTGACTATAGGCTACAACATCAGAGTACATATCTGGGTAGAATTTTAGTTTTTATCTAACTCAAACTGCAACAGCTGGTTTTACTGTAATTAACAAGTTAAATCAGAGAGGAGGAGCATTCATCATCATTCAAATCAGCTTTTGCAGCTTGTAGAGATAAGACATTTAATGTTTCCAATTTGGCTCTTTATGTTATCGTTTACAGTTACAATAACGGAAATTTAAAACCAATATTTGGTGGATTGTGGAATTACTATCTTTGCTGAATTGTCATATTAGCAATATAAATAAAGTGGTCTCAAAAGCAAAACTGAATCTTGATATAAGCATCTATTTAAAGCTTAATCTGTTTTTGGACCTGCATTTCTGCACCAAAACAAACCATATCAGTTAGTTTGGGTCAAAATGGATTGGTAAATATCTGATATTGGTATTGGCTTTAAATAATCAGAGATGAAAACCACAGAGATGATTCATGGGTTAGTCTATGGATTTATTCAGGACTTTTTTGATCCACGGTCAAGGTGTGATGGAGAAAAGATTGTCATATAGTGTTAAGTAGATTCTGCCATCTCTCACAAACACACTCTCTCTTTCTGTCTGTCTCTTTACTGAATCCTCCACAGCATGTAAGCGTAAGGAACAGGACCACGGCAGAAGCGAGCGGGGGAGCGGGTCCAAGAAGCCCCGGCTGGTGTTCACAGATGTGCAGCGGCGGACGCTCCACGCCATCTTCAAGGAGAACAAGCGTCCATCCAAAGAGCTGCAGATCACCATCGCCCAGCAGCTGGGCCTCGAGCTGACCACAGTCAGCAACTTCTTTATGAACGCACGCCGCCGGAGCCTGGATAAGTGGGTGGACGACGGCTCCGGTCACCCACCCAACTCTGGCCTCAATGCCTGCACCAAAGCCTGAAGACGGACTGATTTGACCAACTCCTGGACTGACTCAACCTCGGTGGAAAAGCTTTAAAACTTAAGAGACACAAAGAGAAACTTAAAAAGACCTTGAAGCAACGTTTTGCCCTTAAACCTGTACTATATTGATATTTATAGTATCCAAAGATGAAAAAAAACAAACCAAAGACTTCTTGTTTGACCTGCTTTGAAAAGTTGTTTTCAGCAACACATTTAAGTGTAACATACTGCAAAAAGACTATAGTTTACCCCCCCACCCCCCCTTCACACATACTCACTGTCACTGGTCTCTAGCTTTACTACACCCCCCCACACCTCCCTACCCAGTATCAATCTATCATTCGCCATCCTTATCTTTAATCTGATTGGTTGGTTTTAATGATGGGTACCTACATGGAGGTTTAATCAGCCGATTTGCAGTCTGATCTGCAGCTGTCCACACCCTTGAAAAACAGCCAGAATGTGGAGCTCCGGTGGGATTGGCCAATCAACTTTAAAGACAAAGAAATCCTACAGGAGCAGCTGGATTGTTGTGCAACCTTGTTTGGATCGGTGGCGGTGGACAGTCTGTCTATCTGTCTGTCCAGCTGTCTGTCTCTCTATCAAGCATTCCAGACAGACGGGGAAATGCCCATGCGTAGACTGCTAACCCAAAAACCCGACCCTGAAGCAAACCAAAAACACCCTAACCTCAACCCTCATGGTAGTGCTTTCTTCCAACATGCTGAAGCGTTGAATGATTTAAACAAGAGAAACCAAAGCCTTCTACACCCTGAAGCCTCTCGTGCAGCTTAGAAATAAAAACCACTTCAGAACCTGCTATGAAGTAATTTGACCAAAGAGTATATTTTGTAGCTGATAATCTTGAGAGTATTTTTACCTCATTTCCTCCCTTACCTCCTGAGATAGACTGTTAGTTAGGCGCCACAAAGAAGAGAATGTCACCGCTTATGGTCCAGACGACATTTTGAGTCATATGTTCCCTGTAAATGGAAATACTATATGACACAACGCTGAAAATTAACTATTGATATTTGCCTTATAGATGCCTTCTTAAATCAAACAAAATATTAGGGTTATATCTTCGCAAACACTCTCGAGGATGTTCCTGTAAAATGCTCATTGTGAGGATTAATCATTGCAGATGCATCATTTCCTGTAAGTCTGTTTAGCTAATGCCTACAGATTTAATTCAAGTTTATGTGTTCAAATGCCAGCAGCTGGAAAACAAAGACTAATACATTCTGCAGTTTGTTTTCTCTGCCAGGGTGAAAACAAAAGACGCAGGCTCTCATGCTCTCTGTGTGGTCGTGACACATTGAAGGAGACAAGCGGCCTCTGATGGTCTTTGTTTTTTTCAGGACAAACTGTGTCACCACTCTAATAATACGCATTCAGCATCGCTCCGTCGTCCCTGTGCGCTTCATACGTATTTGATTTTATCTCCTCATCAAAGATGTTGGGTGGAGGGGATGAAATCAATGATCAAATCACTTTCAGGCACTTACACAGCAATGTCACCTCGTCACCTGAATACGAAAGCACCCCACCCTCCTCTTGCCAATCCCCAGACACCCCCTCCCATCCTGCCTCCACTCTCCTGGTGAGCTATGCATTTCAGCACTAGGAGGAAAGCACTACACGGGGCTGGCCCAGGGCAGCACATCATTAAAGATATTGAGCTGGCCCCTTGCCGTCATCCCCCTCATGGCCAGGGTTAGCAGCTCTACATTCATCAGAACAAGCGCTGAAGGAGAGGCGAGCTGCTTCTTCGCCTCTGAAAGAAAAACCAAAAAGATGACAAGAAACAAAAATGTGTCAAGACCTGCTGATGTTTTATAGTGTGAACCAAAGATGCTACCTCACTCAAGTTCCATACGTGATTTCTATCACTTTGATGATACCAAAGATAACCAAAGATTTTTTCTCATTGCACGGCCTCTATGAGTGGTGTTAAAAGATGTTGTATGTCTCCCCTCCCCCCATCTCTCCTCTCTCTCTCTCTCTCTCTCTCTCTTCCTTTCTTCTCCGCTTTCTCCCCCTCCCACCTGCACTCAACCCATGCACCCCTGCTATGCTTGGTCTTGCTTCATCTGTGCTCTGATTACAGCTCCATAGATAGTCATGCTGATGTAGCTATAGGCAGATATGCTGATCCAGCCATAGATACACACAAGCGGCCATGTAGGTGCCTGTGGGGTACAGCGAACCTGCTAGCAATGTGATCCGTCTTTCTTTGTGCTTGGTAGCACTACCAAAGTATTCATTTCTACCATGAAATCTAAAAGCTGACATTGTGGCTTTATAAACGAATAAGGTTTTAGTTTGGTTCATGATTCATTTCCAAATAATAATGTGAATTTGACAGAGTACCCCGCTGGAGTGTCTTTTTTTCTACTCTAACCTGCCTCTAGTGTGTATCTATAGGTTAATATTGATCCACCAAATAGGTGAGACGTCTTGACGTCAACATAGACAGACAAGCTGACATGGGCAGAATTGTTGACTCAACTATAGGCAGACATGTTCCTGAAAGTAGAAGCAGACGTGTTGCAATCTTTCTAAAACTCCCAGGACGAGTGCCTTGCTTGAACCAAAGTGTTAAACCGCTGTTGACCTCTCACCTTTGACTCTGTGAATACCTCAGCCTGTAGAAGGGCCACTACTGAAGAAACAAGGAAAAGGTTTTTTTTTTAATCACACCGTGGTGCTTTCGCCAGCGCAACCATGCAATGAAAACATACCAAAGGAATTTTTCTTGTCCACTTCAACAGATTAAACCAAAGGTCTTTGTTTCTCCTCCCCTGCCCCCTTCTTCCCCTCCATCCCTCCTTCCCCCAACCGTCCTTGTCTCTCTGCTGTGTGTAGGAAGGTTCAGCACTCTGGCCGTGCATGTCTTTACCAATGTCTCTGAATACCTCATAGTAATAATTCCTTTGAGTTCTGCATTGAGACGTCTATCTGTGAGTAAGGCAGAACTCCACTCGTGTGGTAACTGTTATTGTTACTTCAAAAAGTTGTATGATTATCTATTTTGAAGCTGTTGTTTTTTTTGGCAGAAGTGCTCTGTTTCGAGTCACGGACAACGAGTTTCAGGGTTGATGTATGAAACTTAAGGGATGGAGGGAGAAGCATATTTTTTATCAGACATTGGGTTATGCCAATATTATGATGGTAGACTATTGCTTTTACAGGGTAAAACCAACTGCTGTGATATTGTGTTCATATTTTCCCTTTTCTCTACTTCTGTGTTGTGATTTTAATTTAATTGCATTTTGTAATGGTTAACCACTGCTTTAATTTATGCATTTGTAGAAACTCTAGATTTGTATATAGTAGGTTTTTTGAAAAAAAAAAAAAAAAAAGACAGTTTTATGTTACAGCCTTATTTCCCACGCTTAGATATAAAAAAGGAGTAGTTTGTATTCTTCTTCAGCTAAATCCTAGCCGGCATTTCAATGTGTGTTTTAAACACTGCCAGAAACCCAGACAGTTGATTTGCCAATGCAGACAAAGTTAAACAGGAGCTACTTTGTTGAACAGCTGGCAAAAAGCAGTGTGTACGTGTGTGTGTTTTTTCTATTCTTTTGACTTTTTAAAAAAACGGTTATTTTATGGGTATTACTGCACATCCAAAGATTTTTAAAACAAACCAAAAATTGGAAAAAAAATATGTATAATGTTGAAAAGCACTGGCATTTGTGAGGTAGACTTGTTGAGTTTTGATTTGCCATTCGCACGGGTATAGAATGTAGAAGGCGTAGGGCTATGTAGACAAGCTTACTCTACCATGTGGGGAATCTCCTGTTCAATGTACAATCTGAAGCATTTGAAACAAGGGGCTGCAAGTCCCGCTCACTTTGCTGTCTCATGCACAGAGTGAGGTGGAGTGTAGGCTGGGCAGCCGGTCTGCCAGGGGCTGTGCCACGGAGCTGGGTCTGTTTTTATTGCCGTGGCACTGCCGCCTCGCTCCATCTAGTATCTGTTCTTTTGGTACGTACTCGTGTAATGACCATGAGCAAAGTCTAATAAAACTGCAAAGAACCTTACCGAGGAATCAATGTGTGAGTGTGTATGGGGACGATCACCGGCTCATTTCCGTTTTCTGTCTGTGGATGAGTGTGAGTGAGCGTGTGTGCAACTCAATTGTCAAGTACAGCTGAGGTTGTGTGTGTGTGTGTGTGTGTGTGTGTGTGTGTGTGTGTGTGTGTGCTCATTTGCATGTGTTTCTTCACCCTGTGTCCGTCCGTTGTTAAAACCTGTATGTACTGCTGGTGTGTATGCATGCGCGTGACTGATTGGTGCATATCCCAACAGTGGGTTTGACTCCCCCTGGTTGTCAGAGGCCTGACTGTTAGTATACTGCTTCCTCTCTGTCATGCAGACAGCACAGTATCAGCATGCTATGCAGCCGTTATGTCACACAAAGTATACAGGTGCTTAAATTACAGTTATGAAAGCCTGAGATATAAATGGAATGGATGGTGATTTTTTTTCCCCATTTTCACAATTTAGGTTATTTATTTTGTCCACAAGGAGTTCCCATATGATGGGTAGCTTGGCTGCAAGTCTCATAACAATACTGCGGCGCCTAAGACAATCATCTGGATCTCTTACGCTGGGGAACTAGTTTTCTCACCCGCAGAGGGGTGTCCTCCAGCTATTCATATACAAAGATGCTTGAAGGGTTTTGATAAACAAGCATATTTGTTTTCAGAGACATTTAGGAATAGAATACAGTAGTAGTTCATCTTGCATTTCAAAATGAAATATCATTGCTCTCGTCAGCCTTGTGCTCTTGTCAACCTTGATCTCTTTCTTTTGACCTCCTTCTCAACTCACAATGCTTCTTTAGTTTTCAGTTTTCAGTATGTGTGTGCGTGTGCATGCGTGAGTGCCTGAGTGTGTGCACGTGTGTGCAGGAGAGGCAATACTGTCAGTGTTACTCTCAGATGTATAACTCCATGTCTCATGACTTGATTTGTCATTGCTGTTTCCCAGGCTTTGCTACTGCTTTCTCAGTGCCGTGCAATATCATCTGTTGTGATTGCTAAGCAAATGAAAAAAAAAATGAAAAAAAGAAAGAAAATTGAGAAGCAAGTGATGATGTCATCCAGCTTTTTTCAGTGTTCAAAATGTTTCAACATTTCTGTAGTCACAAAAAGTAGAAAATAAACTGTTGGTATTTCCAGCTTCTGAATCCTGGCTCTTGTTATTGTTATTTCATTTTATTTTGATTGCATTGCGTTTTCTCTTTTTTGGCTCAGACAGGCAAATTGAATCAATAAAACATCAAATCAGATGAGAAAGTAGAGGACAAGACAAGCAGGCGTATGAGACTGTTTTGGAGGGGAGCCTGCATGACAAGTAGCATTAGAGTACCAGTGGATAGGTTATGCCTTGCTGTCTTGGTTTAAAGGTTAATTTGCGCCGAGGGGTGCATATATAGGCCTATACATTATATTTAGCTGCTTAAACAAATCAAATTAAATTAAAATAATTTGTAAATTCTTAACTTTGAATAGGGCTTTGGAGGGCTCATTCCTATTCATAAATTTGCCATAACCAATTTATTCAAAATGTGGCTCAATTCAGTTATTCTGAGCTTAGCCATCACTTTGTATACTGCTGACTGAGTAATGTCAGGAAAGCACCAATAGCAATGGAACCACCAACTCTGACAGTGCACTGATATAGTAAGTATACTGTATAACCATTTAATTTCCTTTGAATATCTGATGTTGCAAAAAAGTCAGAAGTCATTTGAATTCTAAATGGATGAAATACAAAATGATGTGGCCACTTTAAATAACTTTAAAATGAGCAAAGTCATTACATCAGCAAAGTCATCTGGATCATTTAGCCTTAATATGTTTTACCTTTAATTACATAAAATCATGAATTAATCAAGCCAAGCGGAGACATCCACACATCAATCCATAAGCAATTTCATTGATTGAACTCGGCAAAACAAGAACAAAGCACATTAAATTGATTTTTCAATGGGATTCTAAACCCCACAAATCCACCTGTAAGTAATCCATCACCCAAAGCTGATATGTTGTAGGCTACTCTGATTGCACTGATTCAATTTGCATGACCAAAGGAGAAGCAAAAATAGTGAAACTTGTTGACATCAGCCTAAATTTTCAAACGTAGTAAGTTTAATTCAAATGATTGTTATTTGAGTTCAAAGTCACATTTCTCAGTTAAACACTGAGTCAGCAGTACTGATAGTGGGACTATGGTTGGACCAACAACTTTGTCAAACTTGTCAAAGTAGCAAACTAGCCCCACGGCAGCAAATACTTTTTCCTTTCTAGTACAGAAAGATGTATTTTATAATAAATATTACATTGTAGTCTTTTTTCCTTTTTTTTATTTTCCGCATTACTTGCATGCTGCCACTAGATGGGGCTATGACATGGAATTTCCGAAACACAGGAGCTTCTTTGTTTGCATTTTTCTAACATTCACACTAAAAACAAATCACACTAAAAGAAGATAATTTAAACACTGTTCTAATAATTTTGCAGAGTAAAATCAATATCTACGAACAGAGATAACTGTCTCTCCACATTTAAAATCAGAGCATCCATAATTGAAATGATATTTGGTTAAATTACACTGAACACTGTGCACTGTGCACAATGGACGCAGACATTTAATCCAAATGAGCTTTGCATCAATGCAGATCTCCAGCATGTATCCCTATATGACATCATCTCACTAACTGCAACCCTAGCTGTGTTGCAGGCCATCAATACAAACCACAAGGTTCACACACCTTAAAAAAAAAAAAATAATACACCTCTTTGTTCCAGGTTAGGCTGTCATTTGCTAATTTTAGATCTGCAATTAAACAGAACACAATTACAGTTTGGGCACCAGTGCAAACTCAACGTGGCTGATCTTCCCCAAGCTGTTTCCAGGCTCAAACCTTGAAAGGACACCACATGGTTTCTAATGCAGGATCTGGCAGATTATGCCTCATTTCCTTAAGTGTAGGAACGACAATGTTAAACACCAGGTGACTTTTCCAGTTTAACATCATTTTGGTGTATCAGTGTCAGTAGACTTACATTGTAAACTTTAGTCCCTTGCCAGATAAATGTCCATCATCAACTGGTAGGTGTTTGCATTGTTATCATGGACCTATGACCCGACATTCTCTGGGTCACTTGTCTGTTTTATCAGAAACACAGGACAAGTTAGTCAATTTAAAATGTATCAGACCCCCTATATAGCTATAGCTATAACCTATGATGGCAATAGGTTATAGCTTTATTGTTAATTTCAGGAGTCTGTCCAAAATATCATATTAATTTCTCACTCTGTAGAGTATATATGAGTGTCACAAACACCAATAACACACAAAAAACAACTGCAGCTGCCAAACAGATTTGAGAAGCAGATTCTAGTGTCCTCAGTTTGGCCTTTGTTCCAAGCGGTTCAGAGAGAAGATTAAAACAAAGAGCTCTCTCTCTGTCCTTTTTTATCTGTACCAAAACGGCAATGGGCCAAATCATGCACTTAGCTTGAGAAGTGAGCAGAACCACTGATTCTAGATCTATATATTTTCACATGCAAACACTTACTTATACTTTGCTTAAACATAGGTCTCAATATTGGCCTGCCATGCTTTCAAATTGTTATCTTGTGACTTACAACCCATAGCTTTTTCTGTGTAATATTACTTTATGATTATTATTATCATTTTGGTTATAATTATTATTGTTGTCATTATTATTAATGATAATACGACACAATACACAGCTCTCTTTTGTTTACCAACATAACAAGGGACAGATATAGGGCAGTTTACTTCAGTAATGTACACAAGCAAAATGATGAATTCATTTTAGATGTCAAAAAGAATCAAAAGTTAATAACTAATGCCTTCGCCAGGAACTCCTCTTGGCCAGTTAAGACTTTGAACTACAACATATTACCCGCATTACCTTGAACACAGACGATCTTTGGCGTCCTATAAGCCAAAGCAAGCCACGGAACAAAATGTTCACGACGGGAAAAAAACGAACCCTCATGTGTGCACGTGAACGCTCATCGAATTCCACCGACCAATCAGCGTGCAGAGAGTAGCCCATCTCTTGTTCGTGCAGTTCTGTCAGTGACGCGACAGAACTTTACAGAAACATATTCAGGTTTTTCAACAGGCACGACGCGTGTCTTCCTCACAAGTTTCTGGTACCACTTGTAACTTTAGCGGCTGGTATGGCTGCGAGTTCATGCGAGGCCGGCCTGGCAGAGAGGGAGGAAGTGACGGCGGGGGCTGTTGTTGGGACACGTGACCAGAGCTGCGCTGATCTGTTTTGACAAGCAGTGAGGGAGGGATGTGAGGAGGGGAGGCAGCAGACTGTGAGCATCACGACTAGGAGGATTCACTGTTTCATCTACATGTCGTCTGAATAATGTCAGTATCGGCCTAGTCTTTCTTATTTCAGCAAGTCAACTGGTCTGTCAGCGCTGAATTAGCATATTCTACCCGAGTAAACGCTCGCGGGGGAAAAAACGTTGCCCTCTGCTACGAAGCGGAGTTACGTTAGAGTCTATTTGTTGTTGGTTTGAAAAAAAGTTTTAATGAAGATCGCAAAGGGAAGTCAGCACAGGTGGCGTTTGTAACGTTGAATAGATGGCGACTAATCGAAGGCTGGAGATGGATAGAAAGCGGATCATATCGGTGTGATGTCACCGGTTTAACGTTTCGTGAGAAGAATAATGCTCTGAATAATGTTCTCGTCGTAGCAGAAAAAAAAAGAAAAACACCGAGACCGTCCGTCATCGGAATCGGTATATTTTCAGCTCAACGGTGGCTACCTGCGCTATATTGGGCTCGGGGTGTTTGGGAGGTCGTCGTCACCAGTAGACGCTTAACCAAACAAGTGACTGATTAAGTTAGCTGGTTAGTTACTGCAGAGTTAGTGAGCCCCCCGGAGTCGTTGTGAGTAGCCCATGTTACAGGAGAGGGGGACACAGAGATGCATCGCGACGTAACTGTGGTTTAGGTGGTGGAATTTGAGACGAGCTGTGAGAGTAGCCAGCGTGCTAGTTCACATCACTAGTAGTCCGGTTGGTTTACTCGCTAGCAAGCCGACTGACAACTCCATTACCTAAACGCTAACTGCGACTTGGCTATCAGCTGTCTTTGTGTTAGTCTAGTCGGACAATACAGTGCGACTCGATGGAAGCGTACAGTAGTAGCATGCTAACAAAGCAATGCTTTGTTGTTGGATAGGGGGGCAGAAGCTGGCACCAACACACAAGGCACCAAAGCTGATATTATTGCTTAGCTAATACTAGCAGGTCTCAGTCACAGAGAGGGTTTTTGGGGGGGGGGGGGGGTCCACGCGGAGTGAAAGAGACTACTGAGAAGACCCTACAGGAGATCGTGAAGGCGACCTGATGACACTGGACAACATGAAGTCGGAGAGAGGTACGTGGAGAGCACACAGACACATGTAGAGTGGACTTGATGCTGTGCATGCAGCTTTAGTGGACTGACTGTACCCCCATCATCACCCTGAGAGAAGAACCAGGCCAGGGTGTTGCGTAACAGCTGGTCATCCTGGTCACTGGTTATGTGAATTAACAAAGACCTGACCCAGGTCAATGAGGACTCGTGCACACAAACAAACTGCTCTAGTTTTTTTGGATGTTAACCCAAATGTCAGCTGTTTCTTTTCCCCCATTTTATCGGCATCAACGTATAACCTGCAAGATCGTCTCGTAGCAAGTGCTGTTCCCTTTTCCAGGAGCTCTTGTTTTGACGGTCTCATGCAGGAGGCTGCTGCAAAGTGTTCTTGACACCCACCCTGTTGTGTAAATCAGGCTCCTGCCGTATGCTCTGCAACCTGTTTACATGTCCCTGTCTCTGCAGCAAGAGGTGAAGCAGGGACAAGAGTGGACACCCTTGTTTGCTTCAAAGTAACTAGGTTCATTGTATTATTGCATTAATTTATGAAGGGGATTTCGGACTGTGTCTTAATCTGTGCCCTGACACAATTAACATTAGGTGTCGTTTCAGCTCCTTCCTCGTACGAGCTATTGTTCATTTTGTGATTGAGTGTACACAGTTGTTTGTGATCCAGGGTTACAGCTGACGTGATCGGTTGTCAACAACACAATAGCACCATATGGAAGCAGTGGAGGGCCATTGTTCTTTGTCATGGTGAAATTAGCTGCAGTCAATCAGGGATAGTCGGATTGTGGTTGTTGTTTTTTTGCATAGGTTATGCAACTGCAGTCATGCTGCTGACTGGGATCCTCCTTAGAGCACAATATGCTGGTAATGGGACTCCACGAGGCACATGTACCCTATACGGGCCTCGACTTTAACCCTAGGCTTGCCCTGCCGTCCCTTGACTGACCCAGACATCTGTGTGATGTGACTGGCCAGCATAAAGGGCACACTGGCGGACACTGTGTACAGTGTAATTATAGACTAATAATGCAGCACGGCATGCTGGGTCAACTGTGAACAGCAACACTTTCTGTTGCATGTTGCAAGAGTGGTTTGTTGAGGACTCAAATCTTTGAATATTGAGATTATTTTACAACCAACTACTCCAGTATGCTTGCTTTGTATCAGCCACAAAAGACAGATTGGCTACAGTGAGTCCGATCCTCACCCTTTGTAGATTGTCACCACGGCAGGTTTGCTCACTCACTCACTGTCATGTTCTAATTATGAGCCAGTAGAAGCTGATCTACAAGCAGTGGCTCCCTGTTTGACTGGCAGATACGATGGGGCGATTGTTATTTGGCTATTGTTCCGTTCCAGTGGTGGAGAACGGCACATCTCTCCCACACACATACACACACACACACACACACACACACACACCCACACTCCCCTTCTGTTGCCTCTCTCCTCTCCCTGGTCTCAGAGAACCGGGCCGCAGTGGTGACAGAGGCTGTTTACTGAGTAGCTTGGAACACGGCAAAGTCAAGGCAGGCGGTTTCACTGCTCTGACGCTGGATTGAGGGTTCCTAGGAGAGCTCAGCTATATTAAGTTCGAACGGGGGGACAAGTCCAGACATGTGCGTCTTACACTGAAACTCCTGCAACAAGTGTCAAAGGCTACGACCTCCTGGTCAAGTGGGTGTGAAAGTCAAGTCAAGTCAAGCCAAGGCTTTGGGTGGGTGATGAGGTGATGGATTCAGGCAGTACCATACCTTACTGTGTCTGTGTGTGCAGATGTTGACCTTAATAAACAGATCCCGTGTCGGGCTGATGTGAACAATCCAAATTGAGTTTCTTAGTCACTGCTGCCACAACATGGTTAGATGTTGCCACATAAGTAGTGATGTCTTGTTACAGCCTTATGTTATCTTAGGCATTATTGGTACGATGCCGTCGAGTGTACATATCAAACTGAAAAACAAAGAGCAGAACTGGGGTCAGTTGAGAACCCTGTTTTAGACAAACCTCAGCTCCTGATGAAAACAAAGAAGTTAGACTTCACGAGAGCAGAGTTTTCTTCATGGTCTCTTTGTGAGCCATGCTTTTGTTATAAATTTAGAAGAGGAGCACTTGTCTTCTGCTCAGGGGCCCAACCAGAGTCATCTGACCCCCTTGTTTTTCTGTGAGTCAGGATGGCATGTGTGTGAGTGTGTGTGTGTGTGTGAGTGTGTGTGTGTGTGTGAGTACATGCGGGGTGTGAGGAGACCGTGACTGTGGCAGAGAGTACGCCAACCGATTGCTACTGGCTAATAAGCGCTGTGCCGCTGAACCACGAATGCTCAACTGACAGCTTTTACAGGTCCCTTAAAGAGCTGCTGTTGGAAAAACTCTCGACCTGTTCACACCAGTCAGGGAAGGCATGGCTCGCCTCATCGGGTTTCAAAACCGTTTCAGCTGAAGTGTGGTAAAGCTGAGTTTTATTTGTATCCTTAAAGACATCATTTTGTTTAAGCGTGTTCCCATCTCCACATGTAAAACAGTGGAATTTACACCATACAAATAGGCTGTTTCTGCTCTACTGTGGTCCTCTTCTCAACCACTGAAGGGGACATTACCAGCGAAAGACGTTGTATTTGATGCTCATATGGTGAAATGTATGAGCAATGAGCTAAGAATGGCGACTGCGTGCTTCCTCTATGCCCTCAACCACAGCCCTACTCTTTCTTCCACACACACATTAAACATTATACAGAGGGATGACTTTAGATTCAGTCATGTTGGAAAGACTCAGTCAGCTGGCAATCCTCTGCGCTGTACTCCTGCTCTCTGTTATGTTATTTTGTGTTTTTGTATGCTGCTTCCTGTTTAAAGTCATTAGTCATTTTAAGGAGGAATTGAATACAAGCCCCCCCCCCCCCTCACCCAATTTACTCCACTGCCGGCCTTCTGCCGTGTGCTTAGCCAGATTACAGCTGCCCTGAGACATCCGAGCCTAGGGTTACAAAATTCCGGGAATATTCACTTTCCATGGGAATTAACAGGAATCTATTGGGAACAAAATGTAAACGTAGGGGTTATCTGCCCAGGCTTTATTTACTCTGTCATATGTTGATTAAAAACTAACTTTTCTGCCATATCATAAGAAGACATAATTCATTGATTTTCCAAATAAATCCATTCATTTGTCAAATCCATACATTGTGAAATGTGCCATGTGGTGAGATAGCTAGCTAGCATGTTAACTAGTGCTTAACTAGTACTTTGAATGTTCGAGCTGACAGTGTGGGCCGTGTGCAAACTTAGGGTTTAAAGATAAAGATAAAGATTTGTAATTTTACTGAATTTTCATTTATTGGGATGCTGGCAAATTATCTGTACTTTTGACAAGTGTGCTGCTGAATTCAGTGCACGGTTACAATTTGATTAAATGGTCGTACTTTTAACCACAACATGCCATAAGACCTAGTGTTTCATGTGTATTTCCCCCCCCCCCCCCCCAAAGAAGCTCACGATTAAAACGTAAGCTTTTTAAAATGAAAAAAAAATGTCTGCACTTAACTTTTCTTGGAAATGTTCTGCCAATTAGTATACACTCTTTCTCACGAGAGACCCAGATAACCCAGAGCGACATACAGTTGTCCCGTACAGCACCTGCCTCGTCACTGATTTACCTCATAGCGGGAGGCAGCCATAACAGGTGCTCTCTACTGTTTTACTTCTCTCACACAGTGAGAGTTCATTCGTATCATTTTTTCCCCTTCTGTCTTTATCGACTCGTTTATTTACTGGCACTCCGTTCTCAAGTTTTCTAGCTCAATCAAAAATGGACTGGTTGAAGGTGCTGTCTTTTTTTTCATATTTGTTGTTACCTATAACATGTATGATCATTGGTAACTAAACGCAACACACCAGAAACAGACACATTGAAACCCCTAATGTTGTATTTCATTAAGATTTATTTTAAAGGTTTTATTTTTCCCCTCACCTAAGGATATTCCTATTTACGCATAAATAATATTACATCAGCTAATTGAAGTCAACACGAGCATTTCACCATATCACCTTTTCCATACACCACCACCCAGCTGCACTGAACGTGGATGTTGGACTCCCTCATTGTACAGCGAGATTCAGAGCTGCCTTTAGCAATGAATACCAATACTGGGTCGGCATTCAGCTGTGACTTTCTATCCAGGGCCCCGGAGTAATCAGCCTAAATAAATGTTGTTGTGACAGGTTTGACTGTAAGTAGCCTAGCCGTGCCTATAGCCGCTCTATTGGATTGGACTCCCAGTCCAGCAACGCTCTTACGTAATGCTAGGACATTTTATTTAGCACACAGACTCTTCTTCGGGTCATGTGCACAGTGATCCTTACACATTTAGTACAGCTCTTCTGTATCGAGGCTCGGTGTTAACGAGCTGTACGGACACGCATAAATACACCGCCCAGACTTAGTGTTGGACCGGCTAAAGCTGAGAGGAGCAGCATGGGTCGCATTTCTGCTGCCAGGGTGCCACTGAGCCAGTGATGTCATTATTGCCGGTGTGCTCGTCACATCCTCCCGCCCCCGTGGCTCCTCGTAGCCAACCGGCAGCCGTCTCTGCAGGACCAGGAAGAGCCATCTGGACCCTGTGGTGTTCTCCTGGTACGGGTGGTGTAGATGTGGGAGCGCTGTCTCTTTTTGTGCATTTCTGTGTCTTTATTTCTGTCTGTCTTTTGGCATATTAAGTTTGTCTTCGGTTATGTCTCTTCTTCATCTGAGGGTGTGAATGAAGTAGCTAAAAAGTACAAACGTGTAGTACAGAGACTTCATGAACTATTATTTGCTGTTGACCTCTGGAGCTGCAGCATTTAATCGATTTAGTTGTCCACTATTAAGTTGTCTAACTATTTTGATAATCAATTAATCGGTTTTGAGTAATTTTGTCAGAAAAACAAGTTTCAGCTTCTCAGATGTGAGTATTTTCTGGTTTCTTTATTCTATTATGACCGTAAACTAAATATCTTTGAGTTTTGGGCCAAACAAG